TGATCTCCCACCTCTGTGCAGCCAGCCAGTGGCCTGTGCTCCCCAATGCCATGCTGGAGCTTCCACATTTATTTGACAAATAAATGTTGTAGAATTTTAAAATATTGGGCCTCGAATTTTTATTTTTTTGGCACAGAATGCCCTCAGGAGTAACTAATAGAGATAGCCAGTTCCTCCATCAGAGCTGCATACCTACCAAACTCCATAAAAACTGCCATAGTTGCCCAATTCTCAAGAATTCAATCACTCAACCTTGAAGACCTCTCTAACTACCATCTCGTCTCAAAGCTCCTATTCCTGGGCAAAATAACTGAGAAAGAAGTAGCCAACAAGCACCAACAACATAGAACATCAGCCTACACCTTGGATGCCTCACAATAAGCATCCAGGCAAGGGCACAGCTACCGAGACAGCTCTAGTAGCATGAAAAGACATCCTTCTTGCCTGTGTCCAGGACCATAAGATCTCCATGATCACACTGCTGGAACTTTATGCAGTTACTGACACAGTGGACCAAAAGGTATTGCTGACATACCTACATGATTTCACATGAGATGATGTCCCAGCACTACAATAGCTGCAATTGTTCCTCTGCAAAAGAGCTCAGGGTGGTGATGAATAACTGCTCCTTCTCTCCAAAGGCCTTCACCCGCAGGGTCCCACAGGGATCCATGCTACCCCCTTCTTCTCTTCAGCTCCACTGGCAAAGCCAGCAAGATACTACAGGCTCAGCTGTCAATAGTATGCTGATGCTGCACAAGTATACATCTTATTCTGAAATGATGCAACTACCATTACTACTAAAATGTTGGTTTCAGAGGAACAGCCGTGTTAGTCTGTATTCGCAAAAAGAAAAGGAGGACTTGTGGCACTTTAGAGACTAACCAATTTATTTGAGCATGAGCTTTCGTGAGCTACACCTACAAGAAATCAGCTCTTGGATGATGAGCTGAAGCTGTACCCAGGCAAGACTGAAGTAGTGCTGGTTGAAAAAGAGAAACTCTTTGAAGAGCTACCCAAGATGTTGTCTCCCCCTTCCACTGAAGGCATACAGCCTCCCTTTATCAAAGTGGTGTAAAGTCTCAGGGTTCTGTTTGACTAAGTTTGGGTATCTAAAAATGCCTCCTTTCACATCCAGCTTGCTAGGAAACTTCACCCCTTCCTTCCAGTCAAGAACCTGACCACAGTGATCCATCTACCTGTTGCACTTAAGGCACAGCCATCCACACTGGCAGTGGAGAAGGAAGAGTGGTGGGTTTCCTGAGAGAAAGGCCGGAAGAATAAAACCCAAAAACTCAATGTTTTTTGTTGTTGTAAAACTGTGGCACAAGTCTGACTGCTACATTAACATAATCATCTTTAATAGCAGCAATTCTTACATTTAACCGCACTAGTTTATAAAAGGATTTTTAGACCAAAGTTCATGTTTGTCCAATCAAAACCTGGCATTTTCTGATTCTTTATTACTAATGTCAGAAATACTAAAGTATAAAATGAAGGTTATTCAAAATATTTACACATTTAAAAAAAAATAATAATGAGCCCCACATCACTGCATGCCCTTCTGATATTTTTGGTTTGTGTCTTCCAGTTAAACCTACTGTTGCATATTTAAAAGTCACTTCCATATTCAGGCCTTGGCAGGCTAGTGACATCTGGGATCCAAACCCATTTCCAGCAAACTAACATTTGTTTATCTAATATTGTCAATTAAATTATAAAATATATCTGAGAATGTACTGTTAATGTATTTTTAACATTAGCCATAAAGAAAAAACTACTGGAGCTGTTTGTTTACTGTGTAGAAGACTAAAGTCAAATACCAAAACCATTCACACTAACAACCTCTTCACATATAACAGGAAAAACTAACACAAATACACCACCTACTGTTACAAGTCTTCCCACAAGTCACAGGTATGAAAAAAAAACAAACAAACATTGTACATCTCTCTTTAAAAGAAGACCTGTTACTGTTAAATTTTCTTGTAGGGCTCAATCTACATACGGGTATTTAAGGTAATGAGGCTGCTCACATGAGTACTGATTTGTGGATCTGGTCCCTAGGTTTATATTACAGTTACAGTTTCACAGGGTTTAATCTTAAAGATTACAAAGTAATTCCACACCATAGACACCTAATCTAGCAAATATTTAAGCATTTGCAATAACTTTACCATGGGAAGATAAGAACATGCTTAAATGTTTGTAGGATGAGCTTCCATTCAAGTGGCCTGAAACAAATGACAAACTATCAGAAGTTGAACCCTCTACATCCTGAAATATCATTCAACACAGTGTTATCTGCAATATCTGTACACAGCTATTCTGTCAGACAGGAAGAATGATTCAGTGATTAGGGCACTAGCCTGGAACTCAAGGGAGTGGGGTTCAATTCCCTTCTCTGGGTTACAGACTTCCTGTGTGACCTTGGGCTAGTCCAGAGGTGGGCAAACTATGGCCCGCAGGACCCTCCTGCCCGGCCCCTGAGCTCCTGGCCTGGGAGGCTAGCCCCCAGCCCCTCCCCTGCTGTTCCCCCTCCCCCACAGTCTCAGCGTGCCACGCCACCGGCGCAACACTCTGGGCAGCGCAGTTGCAGAGCCGAGGCCTGACCCGGTAAGTGCCGCCAGCCACCAGTGCTCCAGGCAGTGCGGTAAGGGGGTTGGATAGAGGGCAGGGGAGTTGTGGGGGGGAGTGGTCAGCGGTCCCGGGGGGCAAGTCAGGGGTGAGGGGTCTGGGGGTGTTTAGGGGACAGGGGTCGGATAGGAGGCGGGGGCCAGGCCACGCCTGGCTGTTTGGGGAGACACAGCTTCCACTAACCGGCCCTCCATACAATTTTGGAAACCCAGCATGGCCCCCAGGCCAAAAAGTTTGCCTGCCCTTCGTCTCTTAGCTCTTTGTGATTCAGTCTCCTATCTGTAAAATGGAAATAGTCAAACTTCCCTACCACACAGGGGCATTGTGAAGATAAGTACATTCAATGGTGGGAGGTATTCAGATATTATGGTAATAGGAAGTCATAAGTACTTAAAATAGGTTGTGATTCAGTGCAGCAGAGACATATATAGGGAGAATTTACTTTCAAAAAATAAGAGGTAGAAGTAGTTTTAGGTACTACACCTGCGCCAAGCCCCCTACCCATTTTTGTTGATTTACAATCACATTTTCCTTTTAAAAAAAAGTTTTCCCCTCCTTTTTTGTTGTGTGAAAGACCTGCACAGACAAAGGAAGCTGACAAAGGCCCCAGACTACAATCTAATCTGCAGATGCACCCTCGCACCAACGTCAGAGCCTCAGTTACTTCACCAGGGGTCTTGCTGGATGAATCAGATTGCAATGTTGCCAACTCTCATGATTTTATGATAAGTCTTTTGAGATTCAGTATTTTTCCTTAAAGCCCAACTCCCGGGAAGACACCAATTACATGAAAGTAAGTTTTTAGCTCTCATGCCTGTAGAGAAAAATCTGAATAGATAACCCCATGGTATTCTAAAGCCTCAAGAAACAGAAGGCAAATGAATTGTATTTTAAAAATCTAATTTTTAAGTCTGATTTTTTTGGAGTCTGACTCATGAATGCCAATATTAGGACTGGGGCTTAACTGAGTCTACATATCATTACTTGTATTACAATACCACCTAGACACTTTGACAGAGTCTGTGGATCCACTGTGCTAGGAACTGTACAAACTCCTAATAAGAGAATCCATACCACAAAGAGCTTATAGTCTGAATAGACAAGACAGACAAAAGGCAGAAGAAAAGAAGAATTATCCCCATTTTACAGATGGGGAACCTAAGGACTAAGTGACTTATTCAATGTCACACAGCAATGCTTTGGCAGAGCTAGAAATTTAACTTGAATATGAGTCCCAGTCCAACGTCTTTATCACAAGACTATTCTAAATACAGAATAAGAAAGGAAACTATTCAGTATAATCATTTAAGATAGACAAAAGAAATATGAATTGTTACTAGGGAGAAGTTAATTTTTTAAATTATCAGCACCCCCACCAAAATATATCCTAGCACCACTGAAAATGTTCAGTTAGTTGTGTCCAAAAGACTGTAGCCTCATCCTGAGAGGTGGGGACCATCTGCAAGTGCCCTAGAACTGTCAAAGCCACAGGTGCTTAGTAGCTCTCAGGATCAGCTCCTGTGTGAAAAAGTCTCATCTTATTAAAATAACTGGCTTTGCATGACTTACCTACTAGTGGCATTTTATTAAAATCTAATTTATTGACCTCCCAAACTGTATAAATCAAGATTACCTACAGGTATGACAGACAAAACCGTTTCTAATGCCTGTCTTGCCTTGTCTCTTGAAAGAAAAGCAAATGTAACTGATAACAAAATGCCACACTGCAAATCCTTATAAAGCAAATATACACAGATGTTTAAAGTTAAAGCTAGCAGTTACTACCATGTATCTAAACGGTACAGGATCTTAATTAAGTTTAGTTTGTTAGCTATTAGATGGCAAATAAGTACAATATCACCCAGATAACTGAATGTACAGCCCAAAGAACATTTACAAAGGATTCAATTGAAATCTGCAGGAGATCAATGTAAAATGGACAGTCTCAAATATAAAAATTCAGTATCATTTATCCCAAACATTTTAAATTAATTTCTATTATAATTACTGTATATCCCATTACCTTTGAAAATAAGAGCACAATCAATGCATTATCCTTCCATCTATTTGAGTTCCCAAGGGAAAGTTTACTAAATAATACATATGCATATCAAGGCAATTTCAACTGACTAATTTTGACAGCGGTAATCTATATTACAGAGAGCATCAGAAACCTACAGAAAACTCAAAGGCACACTTTATTAATTCCACTTGAGGAGACAGCAAGAACCTGAAATGACAACAAAGAGATGCCCATGTGTTAGTAATTTGTGACCACAGTAATTATTTGTCTGGGCGTGGGTCACAGACTGCAGCCACCAGTAAACTCACATAACAGAAAAACTGCAACAATGCTTACTTACCCAGCAGAGAGCCTATAAAGATGACAATTTGCACAGTGGTAGTGAAATGTCTGTAGGTTTGCTCCTCACTGTACTCCCCATTTTCCAAGAGTCCAATCCCATTGTAGCTTCTATTGTTCCACGCAATTTGTGTATTAGACACATTGCTAATTTCTACAGCTCTGGTAACATCCTGATAGAGGGCATGGTCACTTTCATTCCTTGAAATCCAGCTTCCATTGTACCCCATGGTGAGTGTTTTCTTCCTTCTCCCTACCTAATAATCACACATGATTGAACCAATGCTTTTCACTGAACAGAGCGTACAGGCAAAAGAACTGCTTTTGTGAATAAAGCCAAGTTCATTGTACGCAGCAAAGTCTTCACTGAATTTCTGTCCTGGAAAGCAGGTTTGACTTGTCATATCTCTACCTCATGAATCATTATACTCAGGAAAGGAAAGAAGGGAGAAAAACATGACTCTGTCCTGCTATTACTTTTCCCATATTTCTTGTTTCTCCATGTCACAGTGTTTCCTCAGCATGTTTTACCACAACAAACATGAATGAGAAAAATCCAGTCCACACCATACGTCACCTTCCCAGCAGATCACAATAAAACCAATTTATTGTACATTAAATTAGGATTGGAAAACTTACAGAAAAATCAACTATGTTTTTTCCCCTGTTCTCAGTCTTTGCTTAGCTTTTTCACAAAAGAGAGGAAAAGCATCTCTTTTTCAGTGCCAAGTCCCCTACAACTGTCCTAACACACTATATCCACTTTTCTTACTGTGAAAAATGAATTAATTTTGCATATATGGTCTTCATAGTGAGAAGATACTTAAATTCCATTCAGAGGAAAGTAAATGAATGTTCAATGGCTTCCACAGAGCACCAGCTGTTTCCCATGAAATATAATTTTTTAAATCCTAAAACAGATACCACTCCAGTCTTCAATGAACCAAAAAAAAAAACAAAAACAAAGCCCACCATAATCCTATGTGACCTTCTGTGAGTGTACCCCCAGATCAAGCACAATTCTCTTTAAAAATTGTAATACATAACAGAGCATCCAAGTAATAGAATCAACATGCATTTCATCTATCTGTATTCTTGATGCTCCACAGATTGCAAAAAACCTTCAAGTCTTCAGAGCTTTCAGCAAGTCTGCTTGCAGCACTGGCTGCTAGACTGTTTGCTGCTGTGTTCATACAGATCCTAAAGAAGAGAGACTAGATCACATGACCCTCAGCTGAAGGCTCTGGTTTTTGATGGCAGCCATCTTGCTTGTGGAGCTGTCAGCTCAATGTGCTTGAGAAACAGAGGAAAAGCAGAAGTTTATTTTCTGAAGGGGGAAAGTTTCTGCCAATATCTAAAATAATTCTAAATATTAGGAGGGAGGGGGAAAGTATTTTGTCAGCTTCTGCTGGTAATTTTTATTTTGTTCAAAATTAGGAGTTTCCAAATTTATATTTGTGCAAACCAGTCCTGTAATGTCTAGGGTCAAATTTCCAAAAATATCTCTGAAGCTGCCTGAACATATCTGTTCATGCAGAGTAAGTAGCTTTTAACTGGCTGATAGAGGTGTTTGGACATGCACATTCTGTTGTTTCATTGCACAAATAACAGTGCATGCAAATTATAAGCAGTTGAGATAAAGTAATTTTGCAAATTTGGCTCTTAAATTGGGTGAAATTTTAGCTTCCTGGCTGATTAAAATCTGAGTAATATCTTTTTGAAAATACATGTTTTAAGGTTCCCAGTAAATTTTCAAGTGTAAGTAATTTTCAAGTGTTCAGATATATAGTTACATTTTTAAATATGTTACATTAACATGGGCAAGTAAAGGGGTTCTCAACTACTGGCAATTAATTATTTCTTGTTGTAAAGATTGGTGAATTGAGTTATTATACCTGCATTTCCCTGTTGTGAATAGGGAAAATAGCCAACAGACAGCAGGTTGCACAGGAACCATCTCACCCTCTGTGATCATGATTTCTTATGACAGCTATGTTCCACAAGAAAATTTAAATTATCAACCTCAAAAGTGAGCTCATGTGTGTAGGAAAGATAACTTTCACAGTAATTGGTCAGCAAATCAGGAACTCCATCCCTGAAAGAATGGGGATGACCATGAACTTTAACTCATTCAAAGAAAAATGCAACTCTCTTTATTCTAACCTTCCCATAACACCAGATTTTTAAAAATATGATACAAAATAAAGTCTTCTCTTTCTTTAGTCTTAACCTAAACTTTATCTCTGGCGACTATGCATTATAAGAGTCTTTAATTACATGATCACACTGCATTGCTAAAGTCACACACCAATAAGTTATATTAGAAGAATATTAAGGTTACAAAGTTAAGCACTCAAAAGTTAGTAAATGCCAGAATTAGCGTTACCTAACAACCTTATTACAGCCCACTTGTATGGATGCATTATGATGAAGTCTATAATTACCTGATCCACATCCAATTCCCGCCGCCATCACCCCCCAGACCTCTGCCTCATTCAGTGCATGGGACAGACACTGCTCACTATTCAGTGTTTTGTTTTCCTCTTCATTTTTCTGTGTGTGGCCCCAGGTCTTATTTACATCATACTATTCAAAGCCAGCTCTGTAGTCAGAATTATTAATTTCTTCATGTGGTTTTCTGTGTGCTCATCACTATAGAATCAGAATGCTTCACAAACATTAATGAATTTATTTTCATAGCACCCCTGTGAGAAGAGGAAGGGCGGTTATCCTCATTTTACAGCTGGGGAACTGCATCAGAGGGATGAAGTTCAAAAGTATCCATTAATTTTGGGTAAAATTTGAGACCCCTAGGACTTGATTTTTCAGAGTTTCTTGGCAAAGTACTTTATATGTTCAAAGTACAAGCTCCCAAGACTTCAGCTGTGGTTGTTCATCACTTCTGTAAATCAGACCCCGAAGTATCAAGTCAGGCACCAAGAAATTGAGGAACATACAATTAGTGACTGCCTGTGAAAAATTTAGTTGAAATGACTCACCTGGCATTACTAGGCACTCTTTGGCAAAGGGTGTCACAGAGTGCTCTACTCACTGCTGGAGCACCTCCTTCTGATCATGTCTGGGGATTAGCTCTGCAGGGCAACGCCCCTTTCACACACCCGGGACTCCACTGCTCTCGCTTTGTGGCTTGGCCTTTGGCCTTCCCCTTCTGGGAAGGGGGGGACACTCGAAGTCTCTTGGGACCCATTGTCCCAGCAGTCTTCTCTTTCATTGCCCCTTAATGGTGCCACTTCCCCAGCCCATGGACCCTACAACAAGCAGTCAAGTTCTGCAAAATCCTAAATCTTACTGCTATATCCTTAGGCTATTTTCTACCTGGCTGTCTCTCACCCTGAAAGTGACTACAGCCCTCTATCTCTCTACAGTCCCCTTCTACACACAGCTACTGGGCTTTATACAGGCCCCTCCTCTTCCTCTCCAGCTCAATTTCTGCTTTAATTAATCCTCATTACGCCCTGGCTCCTCTTCCAGGTTCAATGTATGCAATTAATTGGCCCACCTAGACACCTTAACTCCTTCAGGCCTTGTGTGGGGTTAACCCCCATCACAAGGGGAAACAATAGAATCCAGTTCTCCAGGGCAGCATTAAACTGCCTTGACCTTGAGACCACCTTCCCTCTTCCTGCAGCCCTCACTCACTACACACCTTCCAATTTCTGTAACAAATGAGGCAGGAGTCCTACTTCCTCCTTCTGTACACAAACCTGATTCACCCTCAGAGCATGTCCATCCTGCACATGGAAGGAGGCAGGGGTCCTGTGGAAAATATGTATGTGATCACATACTGTAGTTAAAGACTGCATCATAATGCACATGCTCAAGGAAACTGAGTTTAGGTTGCAGAGGCAACCTTAATTCTGGTATTTTGTAATTTTTTGAGTGCTTGATTTTGCGATCTTAATAAAGTTCTTTCAATGTATTTTGTGTGTGTAATTTCCTAGGTTTAAAAAATAAAGACCTGAAAAAATAAAAATTCCATCATGTGGCAGCATATCCATACCCACCTAAATCATTGACAGGATCAGAACGTTTAGATCCTCCACACAGAATGTCATGTACAACTTACACATGGTAGGTTGCAGAGCTGCTGCTAGCAGGTCGGGCTCCTATAGCATACATAGACTGGCTACAGAGCTTCCTTCTCAAAGAGAGACACTAGAGATGTGTTCAGTTTAAGTTCCTTTAATGTACTGCCAGACATGGCTGAGGTTAGCTTAAATAAGGTATGTTACACAGAGTGGCACCTTGTGATGGCAGTATAATACAGTTTAGTATTGCATTACATCTCCCCTTTTAAATTTGGAATTCCTGCCATTTGCAAAATGTACAACATCTTTAAAGTTCAGTACGTGTCAGTCTGTTGAAGGTCTCTGAATCATACTGGATTTCTCATTACACAACATGAACACATAACTATTTGGTCATCTGGCTCTCCATGACTGGCAGCTGTCCATTTGGAATCTTTGAGTCTTCTTCATTCTCCATATACCATCTGCAGATTCTGTTCCATTGATTGTTCTATCTCAGTAACAAACTGTAGATGTCAACAGTTTCTCTTGAACTCTCCACTGTCAGTCTTGATCACATATGATCTGGGCACTGAATTCTTTTTCTTTATAACAGCTGGACTTGTCCATCATTTTTCTCCATCCAGTTTGACATAAACACAGTCACCAAGTTCTAGACCCATTAGTTCTCTGAGTGATGTCTTTTGTAAAAACGTTTGTAAACTCTTTCTGCCTTTGTATCCAATTTGCCTACTCTCTTCATGCCTGGCCACTTTGGAGATAGATTATTTTCCAAAGTTGGAACAGTAGTTCTCAGTTGTCTTCCCTTCAAGACTTGTGCCAGACTATGTCCAGTAGTTCAGCTGTTATTGGTGTTGATCTGTAATTCAAAGAGCAAGGATTGGATCTTCTCAGTGTAGGATTTTCTTGGCTGTCTGTACAGCTCTCTTAGCCTCTCCATTTGCTTGTGGGTAATGTGGGCTAGTAATATGATCAAAATCATACTTTGTTTGGACTGATTTAAATTCTGCTGCAGTGAATTGTGGTCCATTGTACATCACTAGTTGCTCTGGAATACAAAAGTGAGCAAAAATGCACTTCAGTTTCTCAATAACACTGAAACAACTTATGTCTTTCAAGTACATTATTTCTATATACATGGAAAAATAGTCCACCACAACCAAATATTAATGTCCTCTCAATTCACATAAATCTGCAGCTAGTCTCTTCCAAAATCTGTCTGGTAGAGATGTTGTTATTCTATATGGTTCAGAATTGTCTCTGAAGATTATTTGTACTGAATCTCCATTCTAAAGTCCAATATAATCAAATAATCTGTCAAGTTCTTTCACCTTTCTCCCTAGGCCCATCATGGTGGCCACACTGTGTCTGAGAAGGTTGTTGGTCTTTGATCCTTTGATCACATTAATTCTGAATGCAAAGCTGTTGGATTTGTAAGTTGTTTCTCTGGTGGCTGGCCCATGCAGTTCAGAATACCTCTAGGGCTAGTGAGAGCAGCGTCAGGTGATTTCAGCATTGAGAGGGGTGGATGGTGATTGTAAATCCCTTCTGAAATGACTGTGACATCAGCTCCAAAGTCAATTTTAAATTCAATAGTCTTTCCATGAATATTTAGTTTCACTCTCCAAGCAGGCTCTGTGTCATCACAAGGTGACAAATCCCAGAAACAATGGCTCTTGACTGTATTCTGTAATTGTAGTTATCTCTCTCACTGCCTTACTGTGGCAAACAACTACAAAATGTACATATTTTGTGCATTTATTTCATATTTCATTTTTAGCTGGACACATCTTCAGCTATGACATTTTTGTACATTATTCTGAAAAGCTTTGTAGTCCTCGAATGTCCTCAGAGCCTCATGACTTTTATGGTAATGACTTTTAATGGTGATGCTGAGTCTTTTTACTGCTTCTGTGTTAATTTCAGGTTTATCAAGTTGCTCCTGCCTTTTGTTCTGCTGTTTAATTAGCTCAGACTGCTTTGCTATCTGTGTAGCTGTGTTTAGGCTTAAGTCTGTTTTTAATTGTAGCTGCTCTGAAAGATTTTAATCGTTAACCCAATAACCATCCTGACTCTGAATTGTTCATGTTTTGCAGTCCCCAAATCACAGCTTTTAGCCAATGCATG